AGGTTTCTCTTAAAAACCGGCTTTCACTCAAGAGGCATAGGGAAGCATGAAGAGAGAAGGCAAAGAGTCAGGCTTCCTTGTTACATGTTCCCCTGGAGTAACTGGTCAACCTGCTGAGATGAACCCTTCTTCCCTTTTATCACTAAGGAAGAGACAAAGACTTTGGTAGTTCAACAAATATTAGTATTTCTCAATAGAAGGCTTGTCTTCTCAGACTGAAAAATCAGTCTTACAAAAGATCTCACTATATCTATCTCTAGTACATTTGACATTAAATTCTCATTTATTCTGTCCATGACATGTTGTGTGCCCTCGTTGGCATGTTTTCATGTCTTCAGTAACCATTCTGAAGGACAGAAATGTGGACTTTTCAGGTAATTTTAACATCCTCAAATCACCAAATTTTGTTCAGTTTTTCATCTATTGAAAACAATTCCAAAATATAGCATTCCCTGTAAGTGGGATCTTGACCTAAAAGGGACTTGCAAGGACAATCAGTAGACTGCTGAGTAGCTACTGACAATGCTGACATCTCTGAAAATGTCCTCTAACCATGCCACTTACTGTAAGGTCATACATACACTTGAGGGTCACAGTGTCCTGTGCAGCCTGGCTGCTCCTCACACCACTGCCCTTGTGGAGGATAACAACACAGTGACCCTCTTGGATCTGAGCCTTGGTTACACACTCAGAGAACCCAGTGCTATTGTACAAAGACAAATATTATTGTGTAGATGTTATGCTTCTGCTACTCAGTATTTGGGGATAACTGCTGTGTCTGGCTGCCAACCTGCTGTTTTGGAGCTGATGTCAACTCACTGTTTATGTCCTTTCCATGGCGGGGTATGCTCTTTGCCTAAGACTGGTCTGGTTCTACAAAGGCAAAAAGGCAACTGTCTAGGAGCCTGATCAACAGCTGCAAGGCCACCCACGCACACACAGAGACATAGCTCTCAGCTGTCTCTCTACTATGAGCCTAGTTAGTCCTGACTCCGTATACAAATTTGGTGTTCCCACTTTGATGTTTATGAACTGATTGCATTAAAAATGCAGTATAATGATTCCAGGGTTAGAGAAACTGTTATTTATACAAAATGTGGTTAACACCTCATCATTTAAAGTGGCTGGGCTAATAACACCCACTGTGCTGTTTTCTATTTCCCTTTGAGTCTTAACATTCGCTCTGGCAACAGGTCCAGGGTGCCCTGGACAGGAAGGAACCCTCAGATAGCTAAAGGCATTTCCCGAGGAAGCTCCTAAGGAGGCATCCAGATGCAGATGGATCTCTGCTTAGGTGGTGTCCAATGTCAGGGCTTTCTCAGAAGTGCACTATAACCTACTCATGCCATTTATGGTGGCAAGACTTAAAGTACAATGCAATTATTCTAAAACTTTATTCATGTTAAAACCACAAACTATTTGTTATTAACAGTGACCTAACATTTAAGGACAATAACTGTTCCACGGCCTTTAATTGTATAACTGTGTGCAACATACATATATTTCAACATGTCCTCCAAACCAGAAAGCACAGTTACTATTAGAATAGCACTTTATGCATATATGGTATAAGTTACAGTCAAGAAAGCATAGGAGCTGATCAACACAGATGCCCACATTACCTCCTCTTCCCTCAGCAAGCTGCACCTCCTAGGCCTCCCCAAATAGCACCACCAGCTAGGGACCAAGTGTTCGAATGCCCAATGGCATTTGGCTAATTTTTAACTCAAAACAGCACTGAATATAACTCCAAAATTCATCACTGTTTCAATCAGATTAAATATATATATATGTGTTGTATGATTGTATTATCTTCAGAGTCAAGACAAGCTGAGTAGCTACACGCAGCTTTGAAAAATATTTTAATGTAAAATTAAAAGTTGTTCCTCTGTTATTTCGGCCCACAGTTAAAATGGTCACCAGCCATCTATCTGTGCCAGTGGCCACCACAGTGGCAAGGGCAGACAGTATACACTATGTCAGTCACCAGAGTGCCAGGAAGGCACTAGCTTAGGAAACCAGGAGCTGCTGTGCTCACTCTGCTTGGATGTCTGCTGACCTGCTGGATCCAGTCTTTCATGTGTATTGTATTCCTGCTATTTTTAGAAGGTGAGAGGGTACCTCAGGTACAACACACAAGAGGTTCACCCCACACTCAAAAAACCACCAATGCTAACTCCCCAGATTACTCACAGTGAACGAGATGAAAACTTCTGAGGCCCTCTAAGCTAGAATATATAGACTGGCTTACAGGATCAAGGATTATTTAAGAATAGCTAGAATATGCTTTCCATCTGTGGAGTTGTGACTAGCTCCAGGAATATTGAGCCTTGTGTTTAAATATGTCAGGCTTCTAAGGCCTCACTGCCCACTGAGGACATCTCACCTTCCTTAATCCAGGTCCCCGGGAGGATATGTTGAACAGGGCTTCAGAGAGATCTCGCCCAAGGAAAGCCATGCAGTCCAGCTCTGCTGTAGACGACAGTGAGATCCATCTGCCCTGCTAGCCGGCATGGAGTATTCTCTTGTGTTTCCAAAATTAAGTTTTCTCTGCCAGCTCACCTCAAGTAGTCTTTGTGCTCATAACCAAAAACAGGGATTACAAAGTCTTGCGAGTTCTGAGGAATCAAACTCAAGTCCTCCATGAAGCACTTTTGCATTGACTGTGGTGTTTAATTCTAATGTGAAAGATTAAATTTCATCATTATAATTTGAAATAACTCCTTATTCTGCTGTCGACACAATTCATACAACCATGGCATTGCACCTAAAACAGCCATCCCATCAATGCTACCAGGATATGAGAACTCACTTTCAAATTCTATTAGCTATATAAAGCAACATATGTTAGTAGCTAAAGCTTCTGAGATTTAAAACAACAACAACAAAACAAAACAAAACAAAACAAACAAACAAACAAAAAAACAAATCTGGGGACTGGAGTGATTTAAGGGCACTTGTTGCTCTTGCAGAGGACCTAGTTACCAGTACCCACATCTTGATCACAATTAATGGGACCCAACTCTTTCTTCTAGCCTCTGAGGACATCAGGCACATACACACGATGCACAAACATGCATGCAGGCAAAATAGCCACAGACAAGATATAATTAAAAATTAATTAAAAAATATGTGTCATTAGTTTCTTGTCAGCATGTTTCCTAAGAAATACCAATGCTGTTTGGTGTGGTGGGTTGAACTGGGGTCCTGGTGCCCAAAGAAGCTAAGACGAGAAAACCATGGGCCATGGAGGTTGTACACAAGGGGAAAAGGCTATCCAATGCCTGCAATGGACCAATTTATTTACCCATTCTCCTGTCTGTATTATAGAAGTGTTCCCGTTCCTTCAAGACCCCACTTGTGCACGTTCTCAGCTCTCTGCAGCGAAACACACTTTCTGCGTGTTTGTTGTTTCCACCTACACCCCAGCCTCCAGCTACTCTGCAATTACATTTGCCTTTGCCTTTGTTAGATACCCATACATTGTTTTATATTCATAGAGCCTACAGACGCCCAGAGAGCAGGAGAGTTTGGTTGATAGCCAGTAGCAATAGATATTCTTGTACACAGAGAACATTTAGCAAAAAGCCCTTGCAGCATTCCCTTCTTCACTCAGCTTTCTAAAAAAAATTAATCTTTTTTTTTTAAGGAATATATTTTTTAAAAGTTTATTTGTATGTGAATAGGTACACATGATTGTGTCATGTGAGTTGCCGTGTGAGCGCTGGGAATTGAACTGAGCCCTCTGCCTCCACAGGGACCGAATGATGCATAGATACATTCGGAGACAAAACACCCATACACAGAAAACACACCGGAAACAATAAACAAAAATGACACTGTAACACAACATTGTCATCTTTAGATAATGACATTGGACAGTGAGAGTCTCTCCTTTACAGAATTTAATGTGGAACCAGAAGACTTAAAAATCTTAGATGACAGAGGAATTTTAATGTATTTAGAAATCCACAGATCCATAACACACTGAACAGCTGGGTGTGGTGGTGTACACCCATAGTTCCCAAGAGGATGGAGTTTCCAAGACAACTCTGGTACCTCAGAAGTCTATTTCAAGAATTACATACAGACACGTTCACCTTAGACTCCTCATACATACTGGTTCTGTTTAAGTACTTTGAAACAAAACACAGAGGCACTAAAACCTTAGAAGACATGACCACATGACAAAGTTATGTCATGGCTTCTTTCAAAAGTGACATTTTACTTCGGTGGTAACTCAATTTTATGACGGAATAAAGCCCCCTCTGCAAGAAGAAAGCTGTGAACATATTGAAAGCTAGGCTCAACTAACACAAATCTACACCAAGACAACCCATTCCTCCTAAGCAGCCATCCACCCACTTTCACCATCCAAATGTGAGCTTCAGGAAACACTGCAGATACTTAGTGCTATACTATGTTGGAGTGTTAGTCTGTGTTAAGTAGTATCCATGTTAGTATTCCTGTATTACTACAGGGGAAAACGTGTTCACAGTGAGAGTGAAATGATAAAAACACCTGCCACATCATTTACTACAACACATGAAGTCCAAGTAAGTAGGGTGGGTGAGTCCTCTTCAGTCTGACAGAAAACTCCAGCCAGGGCTAATTGACCTGTAGTTACAGGGTCTTTGCATCCCTTGAACTGATCTGAAAACATAAACACCTGTGCCCCAGCATACCCTGGGCAGGGCTAGGTTCAGCATACAGCAGATGCAGGTGTAAGCAGGGCTCATTTTATAAAAAGACGGAAGAGTCCTTCTCAAGGACAGCACACCACACCCAGGACCTAGTTCCCCACCAATTTTGTCACTTGAGCCGAGTTCTGTGGAAATCTTGGATGCATATCAGACAGCTTTATCAGTGTTTCTAAGATTCAAATAAAAACATTACAGTTTGAATTTTTACTACATAGGTTTTCTAAGGCTTACCAACACAAATGGCACCAGTCACCCCCATGAGAGATATATGGATCTGAGTACAAACACGGAAAAATCTTGTATTAAATTCACTTTAATCATGGACAGTACTCTAGAAACATGGCTGCATGAGCGGTATGTACTCACATGTAAGGATCCCAGAGAAATCACATTTACTGCTCAAGGAAGGAAAGTAGTTCTTTGTACAAATATTTTGGGAAAATGCTTAAAGTTACAAAAGGATTAAAAAGTCAATTTTACTACAGTTTACACAGGAAGGAGGCTCACTGAAGCAGGTGTTCTCAGGATGTCGGGGTATTTACCAGATGTCCCCTCAGCTCCCATCTGCTCAGTCACTGGCGGACCCCGCCTTGCTGCCCCCAGGCTCATCGCTCTCCTTGTCCCAGTCCTTCATACTAGCTCCCATCATGAAGTCGTCTTGCAGAATCTTCCACCCGGGGCCCTCTTCTGACTTCACTTCAGTCTGAGGGAAGTTACAGAACCAAAATATTCACAGATCAATTTAGCCATAAGGAAAAATTTTAAAATTGTACACTTCAAAGTGTAGTTTTAATAAGATTAAATCAAGATAACATCAAATGACCTTATAAACTATGTTCATGTATATACAAATACAGATAAAGTGAAAACTTTTGACCCCATCAATGAAACATGAAAGCAAAATAATTTAGAGCTGGTAGAAACACAGAAAATAAAGGCTTGGTAACAATTTTAGACATTTGGACATTAATCAACCTTCAATGATAATTTATTAGAAGATCCTTGGCAATTATTTTAACGGAAGTCTAACCAACGTGTTTAAGTCAATTGCACTAAAAAGAAAAGACTGCTGCAGGGTGTTCAAGGTGGTACCACACCCAGATTTCTAATAGTGTGAATAAAATACCCCTCAGTTCTGGTCAGTCTCACTATCTGAAACAATCATGGAATCGGAGACTAATAACATGCCAAGATTACATAACTGAAGCAGACAACAAACTACGTAGCCAATTCATTTCATCCAGTCACAGTACTGGTGGAATACTCGAGCTAAGTACACAGGCCTTTCTTCTGCAGTACAACATCACCACCTTGTGGCATTAAGTAGACGACACAACACATTTCTCCAACCATTGTCCAGCACTGATCTGGGTCAGGAACACTGAGGCAACAAAATGAATATATATATGTAGTAAGCATTTTTAAAGAAAAAAAGACATCAAAATATTGGCAAGGTTCACAAGCTGGTTACCTAACTCTGCTAAAGCAACTGCTTTTAAGAGCACTTACATATTAAGGGGGAAATGTCCTATGGCATCACTTCTAGAAAAACTAAAACATGACTTAAACCATACAACCCAGAGACCAAGCAGCATATAGATTTGTTAGACGGAGAACTGACTTAGTATTTCACGTATCAGACACCCTGCTGCAATTTAACCAGAGAACCAGGTACCCTGTGCTGTTGATAACACCATGGTGCAATGCTTGCCATCCCACAACAGGAGGCAGACCTCTCCTGGGGTGCAGCCAGGCCCTCTTCCCTGCTGACCTCTGAAACTCGAACCCTGATGCTACCTCAGGTTTTCCCTAACCCCCATTTCTGTTACTGGTCTCAAGAGACAGCTGTTCCTGAGTGGCTCCTGGAACTAACCAACAGTCACAGCCAATTTAAGTACTGAAAACTTTCAATTAAGAAAGAAAAAGAAAGGAAGGGAGGGAGGGAAGGAGGAACGGATGGACAGATGAGAACTAGGGTCTCACACTGTAACCCAGGTTAGTGTGGAACAGATTACTGTAGTCCCAGCTGGCCTCCAGCTCACAGCGATCCTCCTGTTTTAGCTTTCTAAGTACGGAATTATAACCATGAGCCACCATGCCTCAGTTTCGATTCAGTTTTTTCTTTTAATTTATCAACAATACAACTAACAATCATAAAATGCATTGAAAAAACCCAATTACTCAGTTATTTCAAGTTCTGAGTATGTTACCCTTTGAGAGTCAGTAAAAATAGACTGGTACCTCAGATAGTCTTGGGGTTTCCAAAATTAGGATATTTTAAAGAATTCATAGTCTATAATTTTAATAATTAAAATTTTTATTTAAGGAATAAAATACAGCAAGCTTAGCCCACAGGAACAGGCAACAAAAACTTAAAATTCAGATTCACTTCGGTTTTAAAGTGGCCATTAGAAACATTAAAGATAACCAAGGGCTGGCTTGAGGCTACAACACATGATGACAAGAGGGAAAGGATGGGCTAAGAAAACCACGCACTAAAAAGAAAAACAGCAGGAGAAAAAGCAGGGGTCAGTCAGATGGCTCCATACTTTCTGTGCAAGCAGGAGGACCTGAGTTCAGACCCCAGTGCTCATGGAAAAGACAAGAGTGCAAGGCAAAGACAAGAGGACTCAACTGCTGAGTTCCAAGTACAGGGACAGGCTGTCTGCTACCGAGGAGGGCATGCAATGTTCCCCTCTGCCTCTGCGCACACACCCATAGGTAAAAAGCCTAGGATGTAAAGAAACAATGTGCCCCTCAATGGCTTGCTTTTAAATATTCAATCAAGACCATTCAGAAGCAACTGGTGTAAATTCTAAAGACAACCACAGCCCTTAAAGTGTTAACCAGCTTCCATTTAAGTTCAGAAACACTGACAGCTAAGGCATTCTGAGGAAGACGATCTGGAGCTATTATTAGTTCTACAGCAAATAATTAAACAACCTCATTAATTAAACACCTCATCCCATTCTGAAGGAAGAAACAGCCAAACCCTAAAAGAATAGTCACATCTAAATTTAAGCAGTCATCAGCAAGTTAATTTATCTAGCAACATGAGTTAATTTTAGCTAATCTAACAATGTTAGTACTGGCTAATCACATCTAAATACTTTTCTGTTTAAAAGTCTAGCAAACTGTTTTCAACTACAGTTGTCTACCTACAATTAACTCAGCCTACTTCATCTCACATTTGCCCACGAGATGAAGGCTACACGGGGCACTTCTTGACATTTGAGTGCGTGTAACCAACAGCACATGCAGTCTTTCCTCTCACAAGTGGAAATGAATGCCAACGGCTGCACATCATGCAGGATATCCCATCATCACACTGGTCATAAGAACTGAAAACTCCCCTCATGAATGTACGAGAGTTTCCCTGAAGACCATACACTACAGATGCAGATTCTAGGACAAGCACATTAACACAGTGCCACTTCTCCCTGGTCCTCAAAGAACACTTAGCAAGTGACATGCAAGTGTCCTGAAGGGTTTTCCCTTTCACATCTTTCCAAGTATTCTTCCAACTGACTTTTGCAGTTAATAGTTTAGGCCGTAAGTTCACTGGGGCATAGTGACACATGCCTGTGTTCCTAACACCTGGGAAGCTGAAACAACAAGATCATAAATTCAAAGCCAGTCTGAGCCGCAGAGGAAAAAATTCATCTCAAACAAGAAAGCAAACAAGTATGTGTAGTTTCCACATTCAAGTGACTAATTTATAAGACCAATTAATAAGGAGAAAAGAAAGGGAGGGAGAGAGGGAGAGAGAGGAGGAGAGGGAGAGGGAGAGAGAGAGGGGAAGAGAGGGAGAGAAGGGGGAGAGAGAGAGATTTTAAGTTACTGAAATTAAGTTACCTTTAATTACAGTTCAAGTACAGAGTTCTCAAAGAAAACCTAATTCTCCCTTTCCATAGCTAATGACCCTGAAGCACAGGTTCTGCTCATCCATTCTTGAATCCACTGAATTACAACTGCTGTGACTTCCTTTTCTGCCCTCCTCACCACATGAGTCCTTACTCAAGTCTACTGTTTGGAAATGTCGATCCCAAATCACTGTTCATATAGCTAATGCCACAGGACTGAGTCTTAGGTAAGGTTCACAAATACTGATACTCCTTACCATTTATAGTCTTTAAAAATTATGGTAAGTTCACTAACACAACCAAAAACCAAACAAAAGCATCTCAAGTGTGCCCTATGTATCTTCACATCAAACTAGGAGGTTGAAATACCTAATATTCTCTGCCAATTAATCACGTAAAGTCTTGAAGCACATCCCTATTTTATAGTTACACAACACAAAAGGAAAACCTAGAATATATAACTGACAGCAGACTATGAATCCATATGGGAATTAGCCGATCCAATGTCTAAGGAGACAAGTTTGCTGAAAGTTTGAATGAGAAAACCTGTGTGAAAGGACTCTTTTCCAATGCTGAATCCAAATAAAGAACATGAATATAACCCATCTATACATTAAATTCAACAAAAGACAAAAACACATAGACTGCTCCTATCAGATCTCTTTGGAGAAGAAAGTGATTTTAGGGGGTAAGGCAATGAAAGCAAAGTTTTGAACTAGATATCTTGTCCCAGAATATTAAGTCCTAAAAAAAAAAAACTGTAGTTGGAATTTTCTTTAGGCTGCCAGCCAGCTCCCAAATAAAGACAAGGAGACTAGCTCTTTTGATTTAACCTGTTTCTATCCATCTGTGTTTTGCCTTGCATTCTGTATGTCCTACTTTCCTGCTTCCTCTGTCTGTCTGGCCCTCTGCCATCTGGCTCCCCTTTTCTTTCTGACCACCAGGCCCACCTATCCCTCCTCTGCCTAGCTATTGGTCAAATTTTTATTAGCAGGCAAAGTGAAACAGCAACACATCTTTATATAGTTAAAAAAAATCATCAACAAATGCAACACATCTTTACATAGTTTAAAAAAAAAAAAACTATGAGCATACATAAAGGGCACAGAGACCAGGTTATAGGCATTCCTATTGTCACATTTGCAAAGTTAACCATCAAAATGTGAAGGTAAATGGCTCGTGAGTCCCACATCTGTGACATTTGAAAAGATGGACAAAAGTCAATGGGGAGGCAGACTCCCTTGACATGGATGGAGGTGACCGAATAGAAGAGACATCAATTCCCATCTTTAGAAACTTCAGCACCTCCCCAAAATGCTTGCTAGTCAACTGGACTGAAAGGAGGCAATTAACCTCCAATGCCATTGGTGTTTCATACAGTATCAGTTAACCAATGTTAAACTACCAGAGGCAGGGGACCGACCTTGCTCCTTCCCAAATTTGCATTCCACAAACCATGTCCTACCTTCTGGAGAAGAAGCAAATATCTCCATCAAAGGAAACTGATCCATTAATTATCCCTTTAACCTGGGAAGCCTACATCACTGCACAGAACCTTCTGTCCACACCCCAGATGTGTCAGTGCAGCCTCACAGTAGCACACCCGAGGATTAACTTTGACACACATCCCATTGGCATCTTCCTACTCTCTAGCTTACACCCTGTACATGAGTTTACAAATGCATTCCTTGTTAATTCTTCAAGACAACCACCTCGTTTCTTTTAAAAAGTCAGTGGTTTTTTTGTTTTTTGATTTTTCAGTTGTTTTACTTGGCTAGATTGAAAGAGAAGATAAAATCAAATATAGTATGTTAACCTTGAGTGGATTTTGGTACTCAAAAGTTATTTTAAAAAATCTTCCGAATTTTATGGTATGTTGATTATATCTCAAAGCCCTATTTTTAAAAAAATAATCTTTAGTGTTCATATAGTTAACAGCCTTCAATTATCAGCAACCAGAATTCAAATGAGGAGAAAGATAGGCAGGCAAAGAAGGGTTAATAACTTAAGAGACCTAGTAAGAGAAGCAGGCACCCTCACACCACTATCAGTTAGATTTTCTTTCTATTTGCTTTTCATAAACAATTGTGTAAGAAGGTAGTCTATATTTTTGCATTCAGTGCACAACACTTAAATAATAATAAAAAGAAAAAAACCTACAGGGCTTTCTAGAAAATCCTAATTCCTTGCAAAAACAACAAAAATCCAAAGGTAAAATTACTAAGATTTTTCTACAGGCGTTCTATTATCTTCTACATTAAAAGCAGGGGATGAGAAGCCGACTGCAGCTGTCTCTCATCCCTCTTTCTAGTCTGTATCTGGTCCCATGACATCAATCCGGCCTGTGCATGCTGGCAATAGCACTAACAGCTGCTTGCACAGTAACTGCAACAGAGACATGCTGCATCTGAGTGTAGACTCCACTGAGTGTGTTCAGGGTGAGCTGGCCTAATAACTGTTCTGACTGGGTCTGACTTGGGATTTTCAAGTCTAGAGGAGTCTACTTCCAACAGCAGCAGTGAGAAAGGATGCTACACACCACCTAGCACACAGTGACATTGCCTCATCCCACTAGTCTTACTGAGGTCCTGTGTCAACACATACCCAGTAGATTCCTGACTCAGCACATGTGCGATATTCTAATGAGATCTGGACACATTCTTAAATTGAGACCCTGCTAAAAGTGTGGCAGTATCCACATATCTTTACTCCCAGCACTCAGAAGGCAGAGGCAGGCAGATCTCAGATCTCTGTGAGTTCAAGGGCAGCCTAGTCTCCACAAAGTGAGATCCAGGACAGCCAGGGCTATTACACAGAGGAAACCCTATCTCAAAATAATCATCATCATCATTAAAAAATAAAATTTAAAACAATCACTTTCTTGTTTGTTAAGGAAGCATGTCTAAGCAAGACAAAGCGGACAAACTATTCTTTTGTAAGGATTATGTGTTAAAGACTCAACATGTAAAATGAATGTTCCTAGTCTAATTTTTACTGAATTATTTTAGGGACCTTTTGAATTTATAACAACCAGAGATGCAGTTATAACAGCTCCCTTTAGAGTTGGCAACAGATATCAGAGTTCCTTTTGTCTATTATTTTTTAGGAAGATAGTACACACAAAGGACAAAGACATCACTCTACTGACAAAGCAAAGAAACAATAGCCGTGACTCAGACAGCAGCAGGGTGCTCAGACATCTTCCTGTGCACTCTGGGCTGAGGCTCTCCCATCACCAGGATAGGGGTGTTATTACTCACAGAGAAAGCAACTTTTGAATCTCATCAGATTCCATAATCTGTGGCCTTGGTCACTAATTACAGCACCCAACATCCCCAGAAAGACTCAACTGCCTGGTGCTCAAAATGATGACTTTTTGCAAGAAACAAGAAAATACTCTTCGGATTTTAATGTGCTACAGGCACCAACACAGGTGCAGACTCACAGAAGGACAAGGCTCACCCTCAGTCAGGGTGTTGTTAATTTCAAGTTAAAGATAGAATCTTTACAACAGCTTCAAAATGACTAGTTCACTTCACATTTAGTCCATATTCCCATCCCAAACACAACTCACTCCAATTATAACTGCTGCTCATGTCAGATAGCATCCTACACTGTTTTTCTAAGTGACTACAATGAGAAACTGACTTTGAACTGTTCTCATCCATAGTCATATAGAGGGCTCTGCTTGGAGTCTTGCTTTGTCTAAACTCAACTGTTTAGGCATTTCAATAAACAAACATTAAGCTCAATTATTTACAAAGTAGGCATTCCACACATTCCATTTGCAGATCTTTAAGGGAGAGTAAAGCCCTGTCCACAGCCCTTCAAGGGGCAATCTAAGGACAATACCTTTCTCTATTCATTCCCAGGCTTCCTTCCCTTCAGACCAACTGGGAATGTCCTGAAAATGCTAAAGCCATTGGATACCTGTGTGACCTCCCTTCTCAGGGGCAAGGATTCCACAGGTCTAAGCACCAGAGTAGCACATAGCTTTAAGAGGACCTAACCATGCAGGGTCTGGGCTCTAAGACACCAAGGAAGCCTGTTTTTCCAAAGGCCTTCTCAACACCAAATGCCTGCTTATATTCCAGGACTGCTGTTTAAGAGATATGGGATAAGCAGCCCACCCCCACCTCTGCTCACCATTTAAAGACCTCACACCACAAACATTTCTATATAATAGAAATAAACAGCCCTGCTGACTCAGCAAATGACTGCTTTCTGTACGAATATGCACCAAAATTGTTTGTCCAGCACTGATCCTGGAAATTTCTGTCCTGTGGAATGCAGCCAGCTATCACTACTCCCCTCTAACAGTATCAACTTCTGATGAATGAAAATCTTGCAGAAAGTCTGTAACTAAGGGCAGAAATCACACAGGGCAATGCTTTCTTAATAGCAGCCAACAGTCTCCTTTGAAACCCAGATTTAAAATATGGCACATGCAGTGCTGGCTTTGGGGAAAGAACTAAATCCCACAAAACCTAATCAGAGCTTATCTGGCTTCTGAAGAAAAAAAAAAAAAAAAAAAAAAAGAATCACATTTTTTAAGGGTAAGTAAAATAAACTAACTTATCTTTATAAAATCTTTAAAAAAAAAAATCTTTACTATTTTAACATCATTGAGAAAACAAATCCTTCCAGAAGGTTCATATCTGGAATGGAAAAAACCAGCCATATCTCTACAAATCAAACTTTGTAAACACAAGCACTCACTGCCTCCTCACATAGCACCCCACACAAAGTGCCCAGCCACATGTGCCTATGTGAGGCATCCCTTACCCTTAATTAGTCCAGGGAAGGCCTATGGTCTAGGGAAAATCAGTTTCCTACTATGAACCAGTTATTTAAATCCTGCTCATCATATCAGATTGCAGGTAAATTAATTCCAACCTTCAACCTGTCTCTGCAATCTGTTCTTTTCTGGACACCAATACCCACCCCTTCCAACCCACATGGCCTCTGTTCAGCTTCTTGCTGATTCTGGCTGGTGGTGGCCTCCCATAAGTGGGCCACTAAAACTGGCCTTTTACTAAGAAAGAAACTACATTTCCACCCCTACCCCCTTTGTTTTTCTTAAAAACAATCAAATCTGGCCAGAGTACACACCTGGTAAAATCGGATTCTAAGAACTCAAGTCCAAATCCCTAAACAAAGAATGAGATTTATAATCTGACCCCAACCTGTGTCCTCAAGAATCCCTCATGATCCATCAGAAAACACCTTACATGCCAACCTCTATGGAGAAGAAAACAATAAAGCAAGTTGAGTTGGTCCTATTTGCCTGTGGGTCCCAACAACCATGAAGCAAAAGTATGACAGGCATGCAGGGGTAGGGGGTGGGGGCAAGAATGATGGGGGATGGAGGATGGGATATGTCAACAGCTGACATATCATTACAGCTTGGCCTAAGAGCACCCCAAAAGAGGGGTATTCAAAATGCATCTACTATACAGTCTGATACCACAGAACTTGTCAGCAAAGTCCTCTCCACACACTAGCACACCACAACACAGTGTATGGAACACCAACAAATTGGCAGACACTGCTCTCTATAGAGTGTCTATTTCACAACAGCCTTAAATCCAGGCTGGGTTCCGATACTCTGAGAACAGGACTCATGACAGTCACAATTCCTGCTACATCTTCATACATTTTCCCAACTGATGTTTTCTAATTTCATAAGCAATGGACACACCAGGCTTGCTGAAAACTGTGCAAAAGGGCACCCTCTCTGTTTGTAAATGAAGTACTGGGTAGCAAACCACCACCAAATCTGACCTTCAATTCTTTACTCAAAAATTCTATTTGGAGTTAGGAACATAGTTTGCTTACATCTTCTCACTTCAAAAGTAAGTCTTTCCATAAGCCTAACTAAAATAAAAAACAACCTGTCTGTTACATTTTAACAAAGTATCTGATGTGTGATTCCTACCATGTAGTCTTACCTGTTTGGCTTTGGGGTTCTTCCCAGCAGAACTGTTCTCATTTGTACCACCCATTCCTCGAAGGACACTGATGAAATCCTTCTTGGAAACAGATGACATCAACTTAGCTTGCTTCCTGATGGAGCCTCCTGCTTCCTTAACCTTTTCACCAACATTCCTTTGGTGTTTCTGAACAGCATTGAATAACTGTACCACACCCCTAGAGTATAAAACATCAGAGCAATGTAACACAGACAAGCACAGCAGAATACCATCTTAGCACCACAGTCTAGAAAAAGGCAAGTGCTCTCAGGTGGCAAATATGCTAATTTATTCTGGAAAGCAAACACTGAGCTGAACAACTCTCTGGTCTGCTTAGTCGACAGGCACTGTCACTCTAGTCAAATCAGGTAGCAAGTTTACTGTAAAGCATGCTGAACCCATGAGCAAATGGGTCAATAAGCTAAGTTTCCATATAATTATTTTAAAGTAACAATGGTTAAGGAGCTATTGAAAACCTGAATTGTTTTTTTCTTTTTTTTTCCCAAACCAAATGAGCACAGTATCTCAATTTCCGGGGATCCTTACAGGCTAGAAATAACAGACAAGTAGAGACAGAAATCTAGTAGCATGTGAAGACTCACTGGCATCTCACTGTATAACTGCCGCACAGATCAGAAAGTGACCAGAGTAACCCATCAACTGAAGTTACTAAATTATCACTCTACTAAACATAACTGTTATGTTTTTTAAGTAGCAATTCAATGTTGCCTCCTGTGAAACCTTTCCCAATCCCCAATTCCCACGGTTGTCACTTTGCACAAAACACATCCCATTCTCAAAAGACTCACTTCAACACATGATGAGTGATCATGCAGAAGACACCATATCCTTCCTATTCAGCTCTAGATATGGAAGGTGACAAATATTTAGATTTCATGTGTGTGTTGGGGAGGGGGGTTAGAGGAAAAAGGCCAAGGTAAACCTGACAGAATGTGTGACATATCATCCTGTAATTGCAATATAAGAGAACAAACCCAGCACCATGCATTTAGATAAGCTCCAGAGAGAAACACAGTCAGGGGTCTGACTACACATGCCCACGACTATAAAATGGGCAGATTCAGAACAAATACACACTTAGCATACCACAGTTCTGCCTCATGACCTCTAAGGGCTCTGGTTAAATTTAGTGTGTCACTCAGCTCTAAGAAAGCAGAGTTTAGGAATACACTTTCTATCACAGCCTTTGCTTTCCTATACATGTTTTGAAGGCGGAAGCAATGTCTTACCTTGTCGCAATCCTCTGAAGGTTCCTCTCTGCCTCTTTGTCTCTGACAACATCTGGTTTCACTCTGCACATCATTTCCCATTCCCGCTTCTTATCAAGCTGTGTTATAAATACGGTTATGTGAAAGAATATTAGGCATTTTTAAAAGTGCAGCAAACTTTGACATGATATTCTGTGAAAGGACAAAGGTAATAAATCAGCCAGTTCTGTGTGTCACAGGGGCTGCTTGTGAAGACACAGTTTTAGGGGCTCAGCTCCCACAGCCTGTGGTTAGCACTCGGCATGTCACGTGAGAGGCAGTCTCTGAGGAGGCCTCTGGCGCCAGGCTCTGGAAAACTGCCAGCACATGCAGCCAGGCAGTGCAAGGCAGGGTGAGGTGGCCATCCCTGACTGCCATAGCCCACCTTCTGTGGGATACACAAGACCACACTGCCCACTTCAGTAAGGGCAAACTAAACTGTCTGTTAACTTCAGGGTAGATTCACCAACTCTCAGAATCAGTTCCGAACACAACAATATCATATACAGATATTCACCTATTGTCTATTTAAACCTATTTCTCCTCTCACGGCACATCTAACAATGTTCTCATCACACTGGGTCCCAAACTCAAATGAACTGATTTCCTACCACTGTGTAAACACTTAAGGGGAGCCATAGAAAGAAGACCCACTGACAATACTTGGGCTGGTGTAAAATGGCCTCTGAACAACCTGTTCTCAGAGCCTGGTTTGACAGACTGACTGTCCAAGTCTGCTTCCCAAGCTGATATATACTGACCAAATGAACTACTCGCCTGGAGTTTCAGAAAAACAACAAAATAACGACAACAACAACAGAACACAGCTAACACTCCAGATCTAACAACACAGACTACCCTGGCTCCTTTAGAAAAGGTATTCTTCCCCTGGTCAGTGTATTTCCAAGTCAGCAGACTCAGTAGCACACAAAGTGAGAAACAAAACCTTAACAAGTTACATGGCATTGTCACCTGACTTCTACAGGTGGCCAGTCCCACAGCTGCTATCAGCTAGTGTGTTTCCATTTGCCCCTACACAGCACATCTCCTGTACTCAGAGTGGCCTGCACACTTGCCCTTGCCCTCCCTGGAATTTGGAGACTATCTATAACTATATTTTTGTTACTTTTAAAACTGGTTCTAACCTTTGCCAGTTCATAAACAAATATTCAAACTTCAACAGAGAAGCTCTCTATAAGGTTTAGAGACAACATTTGTGTTAACACACAAAAGGAATTACTAGTAAAAACAACTGTGTGTCCAGAAAGTAATGCCAGAAAAGCCCAACTGGCCCAACTCCTAAGTAGGATAACCAAAGGAGGAACAAGGGCATGCCAGACATAAAAAGCAATATCCCCAGTCTCTTTCTTTCATTTATACAGAAACTACTCCTTGGAAGGTTGTACTTCTATACTGTCAGTACAAATATGGAAAGTTACTTTTCCTTCATTAGAAATTATTTTTATAACCAAATAGTACCGACACACTGATACTTTCAGGACAGAAGATACAAAAACCTCAGCACAGCTTCTTCTATACTGCACAATAGCCAACTTACATGCAAATTTAGGTCTTTAATCAAGGTTAGACTAACTTCTACCAGCAGTGATTGACCAGAGTAAGAGTTCAGTCTGTCAGCAGAAAACCATTTCTGAACTCAGGCACTTCAGTATTCAGATTCACACAGCAGGGCTGGGTTTGCTCAACGGCCAGCACAAGACCGTGTTCCTGACTTACCCCTGCTAACGCACCCCCACATAAGAAGTTCTTAAAGTTAAATGCTGCTGGCACAAACTGCAAGGCCAGCACAGACAGGCAAATAGACAGACAGACCTGCTTCCTTTTCTCCAGCCTCTCCTGCTTTAGCTTCTCCTTCTCCTTCTCCAGCTCCTTGTTTTTGGGGAGGATGGTGGATTTATTGCTAGAAGTCTTTTTGTTAAGGATTTTAGCCATGGCATCCGCCCAGCCAGAATTAGTCCCAGCACTTGGCTCTGCGGCATCTTCCTTTTCTTCCTCACAGGAGTCAACATTGTCCTCACTGTCGGCTTCTACTGCACCATCCTCCAACAACTGGTCCACTTCTGATTCACAGCTTCCTTCTGAACATAAGAGTAAACATAAATTAAACCTCAGTGTCCTGGGCAGAGCACTGCCAGGTGCTCTGGAGGCCTGTGTCTACAGTACACATAGGAGCACCAGGGTTCCCCATGTTGCTAACAGCACCAGAAAGGGGGGGGATTAAAGTATTAATTGGTTAAGAAAAACATTTTAGTGCCAGAGTATCATTTCTAAAAACTTTGTCTCACATATTAAAATTCTGAACTTGTGTCCAGAAAAGCACTAAGAACCAGTCTGTTTTTTAAAATGGTGGATATAGCTATAAACTTTTGATTTGATAATTTCTTACATTTTTGGAGGAAGAAAACAAAAACCAAATGATACACTCAAGATGCTGAACTGTAGTGCCAAGTAACAATGGACACATAAACCTCCGAGCTAAGTTCTTCGGTGTGCTGCAGAATTTCACCATTTAGAAGCCCCAGAATACAGAGCTCAAACAGCTGATTTGTCCTTTACCCAGGGACTGCCCTTCAGATACTAATTTTGAATACAGGTTAGGCATCCCTAAATCCAAAAACCCAAATCTCAAGCACTGCAACATGAAATTCTTAACTGCCATACCGATCAACTGAATTGAATTTTGGAGTATTTCCTTGGATTTCCTGATTAGGGTTGAGGATGATCAGCCGGCAAAGTCTACAAAGGTTAATGTAATCAATGCAGCAAAAAGAGCCAAGGGCCATACAAATTCTTCCCAGAAACATCTCTGAGTACTTTGTATATTAACATCTAAATAATGCAGCTAGTTAAAAACAATATATTTATGTATATATTTTAGTCCTCAGAGTGGGCAGCACTTAAGAACTAATGACACAACACAGTTCTCTCTCTCTCTCTTTCTCCCAATATCTCTCTCTCTCTCTCTCTCTCTCTCACACACACACACACACACACACACACACACACCCCAAACTTTAACAAAGGTTTAAGAACCAACACTATCTGGGACATTAGACACAAAAAAAGGCTTTACCAGCTCCTAGAAAATGTCAAAACTACAACACTGACATCTAGTGTTCATCCTGATGAACCTGCACAAAGGAAGCAATGAGCCCACTGTGAGGCAGAGAAGTCTTCCTATGATGCAAGCCACTGCAGCTTACCACATAGTAGAGATTTAATACAACACACACACCAACCTTACTTATACAACCTAACCTCACGCTACCAATGAAAAGAATTCTAGAGGAATTTAGAAAAGTCATGTTTTTGTTCTGTTTTGATTCTTCCAGCAGCTGAAGGCCTTTGTTAGAGGTAAGAAGCTCACATGTAGCAAATACAAACAAAAAGATGGGGAACACAGGAAGCCAAGATATCCCTATTTTCTTAAAGAAGCTCAGACTCAGAAGTTTGAGTCAAGCATTTCTGCCAACTGAAATGATAATATTCCATGTAAAGAAATAAACATGGCAATGTAATAAGATCAGGCAACACACACACACACACACACACACACAGACACACAGACACACAGATACACCCACCCACACACACACACACATGAAATAAAGAGAGTGAGCTGAGGTACAGTCCACATAAAGCACCTACCTAGCAAGTTCAAGGCACTGGATTTATTCTTCCCCGAAAAGACACAGATTTCTATCCCACATGTCTCTCTGGTTCATGATAATGTTCCATTTTGTTACAACCATTATTTAAATATTAATGAAGTATTACAACTTACCAAAAGGTAACCTGAATCACTTGCCATCATTCAAGTTTAGAATACATACAACTACAGTTATTTTTACCGTTGGTGACTGTCTGGGTTTCTAAGAAAAATGTGTAAAACAGTTACATTAAAAGAGGTTTCATACCTCAAGATAATGCTCAGGCAATGACTTTCAGAATAAGACTCCCAAGAGCTCAGGATGCAATAGGAAGAACTGACAAGTGAACAACAGCCATTAAAAAGTCCTGCATGGCAAAGCAGAGAAATAACACAGGGAAGACAGAGTGCAGAGCAGGGAGAAATCTTCCCCAGCCACACATGTGGCAAAGGGTTAACAGCTAAAATACATACTCCAAACTCAAAACACAGCAATGCTTACAACATTAAATTCAAAACATTATGGAGCCTGCTGCCAAACTTCTGTAAGCTGTCCTCAGACCTCTGTGTGTGAGCAAACACAAAATAAGTAACTCGAGTAAAAACAGCATCAGAACCAGAGGCTCCAAATGCTGCTAAACAGTTTGTTTCTCTTAACACCTCTGGCAAGGGGTAAGGGCCTAAGTTCTTCATTACCATGCAATAGCTTATGACAGTTACTTCTTGGTTCCGAATTCCAAATTTACTCATCTGTTTCCTTCACACCTGTGAAAGAAGCCCTGAGTTGTTTTAGGAGTTGAGGGTCAACCATCTGTGTACTTAAGGAACTTTCAAACAGCAAACACACTTGAGAAGACTTGAAAAGCCGTGGTTTAAAAAGAGTAGGGTAGAGCTGGAGAAATGCTCAGTAGACAGGTTCATGCTGTTCCCAAGGAACAGGGTCCCTTTCTCAGCATCCACATTAGGTTGCTTACAATCACTTGTAACTTCAGCTTCAGGGGATCTGAGACCTCTAGCATCTACTGGCGCCTGCACTCACATTCACACCCCCATCACCCACCCAACACACATACACCTAATTTTAAAATAAGAAGAACAAATCTAAAGAAGGCAGGGCAGTAAGGCACAACGCAAACCTGGTAAGGAGCACCATGAGGCATTAGAAACATAAGGAGAAATCTCCACTGTGTCAGAGACTCAAGCCAATGAAAAATCTGATGGACACGCCAAGCTTTTGAAGAGTATTGTAGGCAGTCCAAGCAAAAGGTAGAGAAACTCCAGAATGAGGGCACGTCTCATGTGTTCGGCAACCAATGTGAACAGAAAACAGTCATTATCAAGCAGCAGAGAGGCAAATGACTAGACGAGACAAGCCACACCATGCAAGTTAAAAATGCTGGATTCTATTCTGGGATGTGAAGTCCTTAGTGAATGACTTGACACGATCAGACACACATAGAATTTGAGTTATCAGCTATTACACATAAGCAGTAACTGCAGCGTAGGAAGCAAGCGTCTACCCTTCCTTCTGAACTAAGAAGCTGGTGACAAGAACGATGGAAGTTCAAAAACAACAGCAAGGGCGGCCACAAAAAGGTGAAAGACCTGCCAAAATACACCACCCTTTCGTTCTCAAACTGTTATCAAATGTTCCTTTCACTTCTCTCCTTCACCATTTATTTACTCTTCCTTCATTGAAGACTATCTTGTCTCTCCCAGACAACCCCATTCGCCCACTTTCTCCCCCCTGGCGGCCTTTATTCACTATTTATTTATTTATTTATTTATTTATTTATTTATTTATTTATTTATTTGAACTCCTCGCTCTCTGTCACTCAACCTCACCCCTGTTACTTCAATCGAGACCCTTGCTTTCGCGCTTTGCTATGTCTCATGGGCACAGGCAGTTTCGCCCATCTTAGTAACAGCTGTCTGAGTGTAAACACGGAATTAAACACGACAGCAAGGCGTCTCTGAACAGCAGGGCTCCTCACCCAACTTCACTCGTCCCTCGGACGCCAACGCGCAAAAATGCAGACCCGGGCTCGGGGAAGCTCAGCCCCGACCTCAGCCACCAAAGTTCCGCCCGACCACGTCACCTTCTCCGTCGGAAGAGCGCTTGAGCTCGTCTTCCAGATTCGACACTTCAGCCTTGGCTACCAGCTTCATCTTTTTCTTCCTCTTCAGGGAACGCTTCAGCCTTTTCCCCGCGCTCACACGTGAGTCTTGAACGGCCGCGTCCATTTTGGCCCACCGGAAGTGCTCCTTCTGATAATTCAGTCCGGTTGCAACGAAAGGAACTTCTTCCTCTAGTTCCGGTGTTACAAAGTTCCGGGCCACTGGTTGTGCAGTCTGAAGTTCCGGGGTGGGAGCCGCGGGTGTAAACCGAGAAACACCTCGATCCACAGGTGTTCTCCGGAGAAAGTGAAGTCGATTCCAGGTTTCACCCCTGCCCCACCGGCGGCCTCTGAAGTCGGACTCTGTGTCCGTTCCGCCCGGCCCCCTTCCCGACAGCTGCTTCTATTTCTCTCCCCTAGAAGGTTGGTTCCCTGAGTTAGAAACCGCTTTCCTAGTCACTGTCTTGAGACCAGCCGGGAATGAATAACAGTGTCATTGCAGAATCAGAAACTCGACTTTTCACGTCTTTTTTTTTTTTTTTTTTTTTTTTATGTAAACGGACTCAGCATGTTCTAAAAAGTGTTCCAAAGCTAGGTGTTTAGGTGTTGCTGAGGATACATTCTTACTTTCTTGCTGCCCAGGTAGAGAAGAGCCACGCTGTAGTCCTACCTGGCCCCTTCCATAAAACTGCAAAACTGCCTTGTAGTAGCCAAGGTAGGGCGACAATAGGGTTACCCTCCTAAAGTAAGCCTTAAATCCTATCTAGTGCAATTTGTTCAACTAAACTCGAGCTCCACCCTTTCTTAGAAAGTCTAAAATGTAAGGAATTTCTTTGTTTTGCAAGCTGCTGTTGGAACCCCACCATAACCCAGTCCCTATCCCCAAATTCGCCAGTATTATTAAACGATCTCATCACCTGAAATACATCCCAGCCCCTGTCTATAGTGAACCAATGCTCCATCCAGATTATCCTTCCTTACCTAGTCTCTTTTTGTTGCTTTTGTTTGGTTTTTAAGAAGATGTTGACAGATCCCTGGAGTTACAGGAAGCTATGAGCTGCCTAATATAGGTGCTGGGAACTGAAGTCAGGTTCCTTGCAAGAGCAATACACACTGTTAGCCATTGAGATGTCTCTTTAACCCTTTCACTACTCTCTTCTTGTATGTCTGTCGCTCCTGCTTGCGATGTGGTTGAGACCTTTTCAGTTCCCAACCAGCCTGAGCCCTCTGTGTCCTTTCAGCCTTTTCAACAATATTCCTAGACACAAGAAAAGTACAGACTACCACCTGGCAAAAGAGCAAGGGAAAACTTGCAAGAGTAGTGGGTTTTATTTCATGTGAACAAATTATTCTTGGATTCCTGGTCTCACAGCCTACATTAGTGATCTGGACACTATCATGCATCAAGGAGACACATTCCACCTTTCATAAAACTTGCCCATTAATATCCATTCTGCAAGGGGAGTTAATAGCCCCGTAGGCAGCATTCATCAGTGATGACAAGATTTTTCTCAGTATTTCTGAAGTCAGGCTAGCAAAAGAGGAAAATGGGTGGTGAATCCTGCTAGGCTTTCTGACCTCTGTTGCAGCTGGTGAGAAGTACATCACCAGCTATGTCCAAGGAACTGTGACTTCTTTCCCAATGTGCCCCCAGTGTCCTACAGCAAAAAGAAGCCTCCCAGAACTCAGCCATTTTCTTTAAGTCTTCTGAAACTGAAAGGCCTCATTTTCCAAAACAGACATGGATTTGTCCAGTAATGAGAGCCCAGGGGAACTTTCCTAAGCCCACCATTCATTTATGCATTCAACCAGAAGGTACTTGATTGAGCCCTGAGTAGACACCAGGTACTGTTTTAGACACTAGGGATTCTTAGTGAGAGAAAGCTTGTTTGTTTTTTAATTTTTGTATATGTGATTCTCATAACTACACAAGTAAAGCAGCTACAACTGAGTACAAAAACACAGTAGGCAGAGAGCTCCCATCTATCTCTGGAGAGTCAGTCCAGCTCAGTTCCCTTCCCCTATTGCTGGCACAGCTTACTTAACTGCCTGTGTATTCGTTTGCCTATCTGGACCTCAATCCCGCCATCCCCTGCTCTCAGACCAGGTTCTGCTCTCCCACCTTGTAGCTGAATTCTATCCTGCCCTTCATCTTGGCTCTTGGTATCAGAAGAGTTCACCTGCAGTCACAACACCAGGTTTCTGAGCCTGTTGGTGGCAGAGCATCCTGTGGCAGAAGGAGTAGGTGAAGTTATAGATATCCATCTCATGGTGCACAGAAAACATAGGGAGAGACAGGAATATAGTCCCCCAAGGACAAACCTCAGTGTTTTACACTTCTAGCTAGCTGCTACCTCCTAGAACTTCCACAAACTCCCAAAATAACCCCTAGTGTTATTTAACTCATGAACCTGTGAGTGATTTCCACACTCAAGCCATAAGACTACAAAAGCAGCCAGTTATCATTTCACATCAAAGAAGAAAATGCTCAAGCTGTGGTCTAACCCCTAGTGTTATTTAACTCATGAACCTGTGAGTGATTTCCACACTCAAGCCATAAGACTACAAAAGCAGCCAGTTATCATTTCACATCAAAGAAGAAAATGCTCAAGCTGTGGTCTAACCCCTAGTGTTATTTAACTCATGAACCTGTGAGTGATTTCCACACTCAAGCCATAAGACTACAAAAGCAGCCAGTTATCATTTCACATCAAAGAAGAAAATGCTCAAGCTGTGATCTAGCATAGCAGTAGAGTGCTTACCTAGCACACACAAAGCCCTGAGTTCCATCTGTAGCAATAAGGATGTGTGTGTGCCGGGAGTGAGGAGGGGGGTGATCATCACCAGGAAAACAGAAAACAGGGAATCCATGAAGCAAGTGGTTCCCAGAAACTCAAGGCCAGAGATAGATACCTTACTGACCCAGTGGTAGGCTGAGCTAGGTACTGTAAGGGGGAAAGGGCCAGCCAAAGAAATCCACCCTGGTCCTGAAACCAGAGCCAGTGAAAGAAATACACCCTGGATCTGAAACCCAAGCTAGCCTTGTGACCATCAGGCTGTCAAGGTCACATGAATGATAGGCTTAGTTACTTTTCTATTGCTGTGATACCATGCCCAAGGGAACTTACAAAGGAGGGTGTTTAATTGGGGGCTTGCTTACAGTTTCAGAACGTTAATCCATGATCATAATGGCAGTTAGCATGGTGACAGCAGACAGGCATGGAGCTGGAGCAGTAGCGGAGAGCTTACATCTGATCCACAGGGTGGATACAGAGAGTCAGACAGACAGATACACAACACAAATGCATGCACGTGTGCACACACGAGAGAGAGACAGGTACAGAAAGATGAGAGACAGACTAGGCCTGGTGTGGGCTTTTGAAGGCTCAAAGCTCACTCTAGTGGCACACCTTCTCCAATAAGACCACACCTCCTAATCCTTCTTAAATAGTTCATCAGCTAGGAACCAGGCATTCAAACACAGAAGCCTATGGAGGACATTCTTATTTGAAATCGCCACATAAGTGTTAACAACATCTGTAAAACACAGCTGCAAGCCCACACGGGGTCTTGTTAAGGAAAATGTCAGTGGCAGCAGGAAAGAGAAGACTGACATGTGCACCAGGGTGTCCTTTGATTACCCAGCCAATGAGGAGAGGGAGGAAGGGACCTGACTTCAGGGCAGTAAAATTGATCCTTGCACTGGACTGGCACCCAACTTTGAAAAATTGTAAAATAAACAGCCTCATATTTGCAACTCTGAACCTCTGGTATTTCTTTTCTCTCTCTCTCTCTCTCTCTCTCTCTCTCTCTCTCTCTCTCTCTCTGTGTGTGTGTGTGTGTGTGTGTGTGTGTGTGTGTGTTGGGCATGCACACACTTGTGTGTGTCTTTGTGTTGTGCGGAGAGGAGTTTGCCAGAACATTATTAGATTTAAAGAAAACTTAGTGTCCCTGATGAAAGACTTTTCATCTCAATGCCAGTATTTTCTGAGCTTGTCATGGCATGGGATTCACTTTTAGCTAATTTTCTTCTCCTAATAATTTAATACTGTAGGCTGGCATATAAAAGAAAGAAGTGTATTTTTTGGCTTAGAACACTGCCTTAGGTAAGGGGCATGCATCACCCTGTTGTGGACTGCCTGCTGGCAGGATAGTACATGGATTTCTCCCAAGGCAAGTGGGAGACAGAATACACGTGCATTTTGGTCTCTCCTCTCCCTTCTGCATTTTATTTATTGTGTTGGGAACTGATTACAGAATTCCCAGCATGCTAAGTATAAGCTTTATCACCAAACAATATGCTTAGCCCCATCTCCTCCTTCAGAAGGTACCAGGGTTCAATCACAGGATCTCCACTATGATCTCCAACCTTTAAATAGTACCTATTACATTTTTATCTTCTAACATCTCACTATGGAGATTCAATTTTAGAAGAAACAAAAGTATATTCAAACAATGGCAACGGTCCCAAAGCTATGAATAGCTACTTAGGTTGACTTTTGATTCAGAGGCCATCCTAAACAGCTATTTGGCAAAGAAGGTTCTTTTTAATATGAGGAATATCAACTGACTCTCCAGTAATGGAAGTTCATATTTAGAAAACCCATCGGAAATACACACGTTACTCTTTGAACATCTATTAATGGTCTGTACATCACTCAGAGGAAAACCAACAAGAGTGAAATCATACATTTTTCTTTCAGTAGAGGGATTCAGTAATGGCCCAATTACATTCTCTACCAAAGGGTCTCTCTAATTAGTGGTTGGAGCTTGCAGGGGAGCTCTGACCTTTTGATCTGCTTCTACTAATGGAAAGGGCCTTGTGCCATGTGAGGGTGGGCATAATGAGGCTGAGCTGAAAGCTGCTAAATAACTTCATAAATCCACTCTAACAATTGTTGATTTTTTCCATGCAGTAACCATGGGATGATTCTGTTGACTTCAGCATATGCTCCGGCTGGGGCAGATTCCACAGTATCTTTTCCTGCGAACACGTCATTTATCCCAGAGTATTTCTTTTCAAGTAGAGATTAGTGGAGTGATAGGTGCTATTTCAACTTCATTTTTACAAACTACATGGGTAAAAAGTCTAAGGGGCTTATGTAGCCCAGGTTTCACTTAGGAAGGAAGTGCAAACAAGGCCCTTCAGATCACAG